ATTGTAGGATTCTCAGAATTATAACTCTTAAAGGCCACCTCGTCCATTGCCTCTTATTTTTACAAAAGAAAGTAAAGCTTATAATGAAGTAACTTATGCAAAAACTGCATTCCTAGTTAATAGAAACTGTTTCCTAATATCTAGTGAACATTATTTTTGCTGCAAAAATGTTGCCCTCATGAGGACAGGGATTGTTTTTTATCATTTCCTCTTTTCCCTATATTCTTCACTCTGTATTATGCTAATGAGGAAAATAAGTATATTTGGGGAATATATATTCAAAGTATGCCTGAAAGGATGGTAGAAGAAAATAAAAATGCAAGATTAATGAACAAAATGTATATACAATTTTATTTTTAATGTATTTTATTAATTATGCTAGTACAGTTGTCCCAATTTCCTCCCTTTGCCCTCTACCTCTCGGTACCCTCATTCCCTCCAGCAAACTCCCCTCCACTTAGTTCATGTCCATGGGTCAGGCATATAAGCTCTTTTGCTACCCCATTACCTATACTATACTTAACATGGCCCTGTCTATTTTGTACCTACCACTTTGTGCTTCTTAATTCCTGCATGTTTTCCCCTATTCTCCCTCTTCCCCCTTCCAACTGATAACCCTCCAAATGATCTCCATACCTATGATTCTGTTCCTGTTCTGGTTTAGTTTGTAATTTGGATTCAATTAATGTTCATCACTTTGATCTTCTTTTTCTTATGTAATTCCTTAGCATTTTACATAATAAATGGCTTGGTGATGATGAACTCTTTTAGTTTTACCTTGACTGGGAAGCACTTTATCTGACCTTCTATTCTAAATGATAGTTCCGCTGGATAGAGAAATCTAGGTTGTACGTCCTTGCTTTTCATCCTTTAAATACTTCTTGCCAGTCTCTCCTTGCAGGCAGAGTTTCTTTTGAAAAATCAGCTCATATGGGAACTGCTTTGTAGGTAACTGCATCTCTCTTGTTTCTTTTAATATTCTCTTTATCTTTAACCTTTGACATTTTATTTGTGATATGTCTTGGTGGGGTCCTCTTTGGATTCATCTTGTTTGGGACTCTCTATGCTTCCTGGACTTGTATGTCTATATCCTTTACCAGATTAGGAAATTTTTCTCTCATTGTTTTTTTCAGGTAAAATTTCAGTTTCTTGCTCTTCATCTTCTCCTTTCCCCCCCTTATGATTCAGATGATGGTATGTTTAAAGATGTCACAGAGGTTCCTAAGCCTCTCCTCATTTTTATTAATTCCCTTTTTTCCCTCTTGTTCTGACTGAATGTTTTTTTTTTCCGTTGTGTTTCAATTTTTTTTTAATTTGATTCTCGGCTTCATCCTCTCCACTGTTGGTTCCCTGTAAATTATTCTTAATGCCACCTTCATTTCTGGTTGGGTCTTTTTTATGGCATTGAGGTACCCAGTAGGTTCCTGGAGCATCCTGATAACCAGTGTTTTGAACTGTGTATCTGATAGTTTTCTTATCTCCATTTCATTTACCCATATTTTGCTGTGTATGATGCTTACCCATGTTTTTGACCCACACTTTCAGGAAACAAATTTTCCATTTTAATTTGATCTTTTATTCATTTATATTTAGATTCTTATTTTTTATATTTAAGTAAATTTTAGAATTTATTTTTGAACATGTTATGGTACAAGAAATTTTATGTAACAAGTAATTATAAAACACAAAGAGAGATACAAGGCATTTCAGGTACCACCCATGTATTATGCACATACTTACTTTCCCTAAAAAACATTGGGCAAAAAAATATGTCCATTATACACGGTAAAATATGATAGTTCTTTTTTTCTGGAGTTTTGTTCTGTTTTTTTTTTTTTCCTTTTGGCCCACATTCCTTTGTTTCCTCATTTTGGCAGCCTCCATATGTTTGTTACTGTGTATTCGGTAGACCTGCCTTGACCCCTGTCTTAGCACATCTGCTAAGTTGTATGGGGTAGAGTCTGAGATAATCACCAAGACAGGGCAGCCCATGTTGCTGCTTTGTTACTGTGTGGCGGAGGGCTCACAGAGGGGACAATGCTGCTGCCTAGGCTCTGGAGTTTTTCCCAGGAGGAAGCTGTCTCCTAGCACTTGCAATTCATTTTCTCCCCATATGCCACTGGTGCCCTTCCAGCTATTTCTCTGGTGCTGAATCCCAGAGAGGGTTAGCCCTAAGTCCATTGTGGGCCCTTTAAGAGAACACAATTTCTTCCACTGTCCCAACCCCCATGAGTTTTTACAGACAGATGTTATGGGGACTTATCCTCCTTCTACTGGGCTCCTGGGCTTGGTGGTATGGACTGGGGCTGGGATCCCTCACTCCCAAAGGTATCCCTCCCATTGTTTATCCACCAAACATGGATGTGGGGCTGCCTGTTGCTGTCTCCACACCTCTCCACCCTCTCTGCATCTCCGCCCTCCCTACCCGTTTGGATGAATATGGCTTCTGAAATGTTAAAGGGACTTATCTAAGAAAATTAAGTTAAAAAAACATGAACAGTGAAAGGACAACAAACTCACAGTTATTAACAACCACACTAAAACAAAAGCAAACTAAAAGGACAGCTAGATCAGGAGTGGAAATATAGAAATGAAGATCTCAAGGAGGGTTAGCAACAGGTGAGTGGGAGGAGAAGAAGGGGGGAGAAGGTACAGAAAATAAGTAGCATAGACCGTAGATAGAAAATAGAAGGGGGGGGCAAGAATAGCATGGGAAATATGGAATCTAAAGGACTTGAGACACATGGTCATAAACTAAAGGGGGGTAATGGTGGGGACGGGGGGGTAGGGTGGAGGGGAATGAAGGGGGGAATAGAACAACTGTAATGGCATAATCAATAAGAAAAATTTAAAAAATATGGCTTCTTTAAATCCTTGGTTTTTAGAATTCCACACAGCTCAGTTTTCTGACAATTCTAGGTGATATTAATTTTGTAGTATAGCTGTATTTTTCACTATATTTGAGGAGGTGAGGCATGTTTGCCTATGCTTGCATCTTGACCAGAAGCTTACATATAATTTTAATTAAAATCTGTAAAAGTTATATAAATGAAAACTACATTTAAAAACTAATATATTAGAAATACTTAGTAATAACTGATCATTATTGAACATGTCTGTGCTACAAACATGTTTAATCGCATTTTAATCTCTGGATAATTCTGTTATATCTTATTTTTACTCTACCTTTTGCAGAAGACAAAAGTGAGGTGCTATGTGATTTCATAGTTAACATGTACATAGCATTGAAAACATTAAATATTGTGTACATTTAATATTGAAAACATTAAAACATTTATTACAGTATGTTTATTTGTTTAAAATGTAGTCCCTATTTTTCTGTGTTCTAAGCTTTTTGAGTGAAATAACTGGATATCTCAGAAGATAAATACCACAATAACTACTAAAATAATACATAAATCAATGCTGTAAATAGCCATTATTTGTTGTAATTGGGGTAAATGGTAAATTGAAGGGAACAGTGTTAAAGACAAGTGATATTCTTCTTTACCTGTAACTCATCTTCACAAGAATTAGAAATATTGATTTACAGATTTTCCATCTCCTAAAATATGATTTATAATAGTTTCATGTTTTTCTTACTACTTGTGTTTTATTTCATCAGGAAATTGAGGTCAATATGATTATTTTTATATAAATTAATTGTCATCTAACTACCTCAGAGACCAATGACTTCAAGCAGAATACAAATTATTGAACTAATAAAATTATGAATAAATAGTTTTATAAATGACCAATTTTTTACAGGTGTGTAATCTGTGTACAGAAATAAATGGATAAGATTCCATCATACACAGAAGAAACTATTTTTTAAACTTTCTTATTGGAATGACAAATTAGCAATTAGTATTCTTCCTGTAGTTTTATGAAGGTGCAGATACGAGTGCTCAGTAAATGCAGAAGCAAAGGACTTAAAAGCATGTCTATCTCATAATAGATAGAAGATGTAGTGCTGATATTATACAATAAATATTAACAGTCATAAGTTAGGGCAAGAAATGAGGTGAGAAGTCATTCATCCATTCTATCAAAATGAAAGATATCATCTATTGTTTACATTGTTAGATATTTTATATCTAAGAAACCCATTTGATTTAACTTGTGTTAATACAACAGGATATAAGCAGAACTGATCACTTCCAAAGATTAGAATTTAAGTTATATTTTTTCTCTGGAGTACAAAATTAATTTTGCAGATCTTTGACTCCAGTACTTCTGACACATTTCAATACTATATTTTGCTAATGGAGTTGTCAACATTTGAAGAAAAAATTGAAAACTCACAAAGTAGTGAGTTTTTCTTTACTAGAGTTAATAAAAAAAGGTTGTCCTAACACTCATCTTTTCTTCCTACCATACTAGGGACTATAATTGTAGGAATATGATATAGAAGAATTGTATCCCTATGGCTTATTCTAAAGAAAACACCACAAATCACTGCATTACTACATTATTCTTATTTCCACATACAACCATCTTTATTTTCATTTAATAACACTGGATTTACTAGCTGTTTTGCTGATACTGGATAAGAAAAAGCCCAGGTATTAATAGCAATTATACATATTTATTTATTTATTTATTTATTTATTTATAGTTTTAAAAATTACTATGTTAAAAATAAAGATACTACCAAATACATATTTTGTGATATTTCTTAATGTTTATAAGAAAATATTTGTTTTCATAAAACATAATTCTTAATACAAAAATATAAAATTTCTTTTTAAAAGAGTGCATAAATTATACCCTGGCTGGTGTGGCTTAGTGGATTGAGAGCTGGCCTGAGAACCAAAAGGTCGCTGGTTTGATTCCTGGTCAGGGCTTATGCCAGGGTTAAGGGCTGGGACCCCAGCTAGCAGCATGAGAGAGGCAACCAATTGTTTCTCTCACAAGTTGATGTTTCTCTCCCTCTCTCTCTTCCTCCCTTCCCCTCTTTCTAAAAATAAATAAACACAATCTTTTAAAAGAGAGCACACAGCTTTGTGCAGTGGCGGTATCGTAGCCAATGAGGTTTATCCGAGGCGCGATTATTGCTAATTAAAAGAGAGCACATACATTAAATTCGCTGAAATAAAGAATGCTTCATTAAAATTACCTGCAGACATTTATGAAAGACACGGCACCACAAGCCATCCTGTGAGGCCCCAATGTCAGACCCTGGTGAGTAAATCAGTTACACACTTAAACCACGGAAACGGGAGGCTGGTTAAATTGCGCTTTCGTGAGTCAATAGCATAGCTCCAAGTATGTTTAAAAACTCCTAGGAAACAATTTACTAGCAAATACATACTTGAAAACAAGTTCTTCGAACTGCATTACTTTTAAAGAAAAATGTGCTAAAACAGTTCATTTTTTAAAAAGTGTTATAAAGGGACAGAAGCCTGTAAGCCAACATCCTCCATCTGTGAACTCTATTCACAATTCAATGTTCTGGTTTAAACTGGAAATAAGCGTCTGGGACACATAAGTGAATAGATTTTTTTCCCTATGTACTTTCTGTCACATCACATTATGGTGTTTGGGCTGCCACAAAGATCGTACCACATAGCATGTAAAGGACAAGGTATCTCAGAAGTGACAGTCCCACAAAACTAAACAGAATTATTGCATACACAGTGGCAATGCTTACTTTTAGCAGGGTCACGAAAAGGCCGGATTTTCTGTTCACCCAATATAGACACATTGCTTCTTGTTTTAACTCTTTGTTTTCTGTCTGTAGTGCCATAATAATTCATGTTATATTTTTTGTTATAGTCTATATTCTATGCAAGTAATAGTGTTTACCGTTGACAAAAATTTGTATCAAAGTCTTCATTATCGATTATATTTGTGACTTTATGGAGATTTTGCCAACTAAATATCCAAAACTCTGTTATACTTGTGTATTTTATATTAGTATCCTAAAAATTCTAATTGTGAAAATGTACCCTATTTTAACTATTGTTATAATATAATTAAGTTGAATTTTAGATTATGATACTGTAATAAACATAAGCACAACTTAATTAATACTCTCTCAGAGTTCACATTCTAGAATTTCATTAGTTGAATCACAACGTATAAAGTCATTTAAAGACTTTTTTAGTTCTCAGTTAAGAAATGAATTAACGTTTATAATATTATACCTGCTCATTAAAATCAAAGTGCTCTAGATTTTAAAATTATTTGTAAAGTTACATATTGGTTCTAAGAAATACATATGCAAAAGCACATGTTAATCAGTACTCTGGAGTATTAGAGTTTACAATTAAAATTTAATTTGGGAACTATGGGTTTCCAGAGTATCCCTAGGGTACAATCTGTCAATAACCCCGTTACGTACAATGGAACCTGGGAATTTTCTAAGTCTCTTAGTTGTTTTGCTTTAGACTCAGCCAGGAAATGGCTTAAGCTACTGGTAATAACTCAAGTAGGAGGCTGGAGGGGGCATGTATTGGGTCTGGGTAGATCTAGGCAAATGGTAATAATGATAATGCTTTAATTTAAATATAATGCTAGATAGAGTGTCATACACAAGTTGCCTCTATAATGCCCTTCAAGCACAACCAGGTAAGTATTAGAAGATCAGTGTTAAGTAAGGAGATAAATAATTAAATAAATAGCTAGGTGGGGGAATTAATCCATCAGCCCTCTCTAACAGATTTAAGGTTCTGCAGAAAATGGCTTTCTTCTGACAATTCCAAAAATATTGTTGGTGCTCAGATTTCTATTTCAGCCCTCTGCATTCAGTGATCTATAAAATGTCCCCAAGCAACCAACTAATCCACATTCACTTTAAATCCTTGCACTTATATTTTTTTCAGACACCACATCTGGCAGAATCTATCAGTGTCAGTTACCTCTGTGGAAACTGATGCTTTGGTGAGTTAATACTTCTTGACTAGGTTAGTGTATAAACTCTTAAAAATGTCATTCAGTGCTTCTACCAAAAGCGGTATGAAACTCTGAAATCGGTAGGTGATTGTTTCAAGCTGGCCGTGCACTATTACTTGTAGGATTCTTGCCTGCCTAAACTTGCTGTAAGATTTTTGTTTCAGCAATTTAATATCTAACTTGGTTTGAATATTCCAGACCATTGTTTAAAAGAGAAGTATCTTCCAAAAATGCTAAACTATTATTTTTCTTTATTTTGTAAGTGACTGGTCTCTCAAGAAAATTTGTTCATTCAACAAAAGTCTGATGAGCATCAGCAAAGAAGCAAGGTTGAGAAGGAAAAGTAGTTGCCAGTGAAAATTTGCTGAGGTATCAATGAAGACTAGCATTTTCACTACTATATAAACAGACGTGTTACAATATAAGTGAGGCTTACTATGACAGAGGTATAAATTGAATGCTTCCAAGTATGCAACTCTGGATGAGTCAGAAGAAACTTCATATTACATTTAAGATAACACTACAAAGCAGAGTTTGCCATGAAGGCAGGGAAAGTAACTCTGAAGAAAATAGTATGGCCAAGTTTCAGTCTAAGAAATAAATCTTATGTTTGTAAATCTTATGTCAGTGAAAAATGTATAAACAGCATAATGTTAACAGAAAAGAAGACAAGGGGTGAGGAAAAGGAGAAGAAACTAGAGAAAAGTAAAGATTGATCAACATAGGGAGAGGCCTGTTTGCCAGCCTAAGGGCTTCTGAGTTACCTTTGTAAGTTAATGGTGAGTGTAAATTACCTTTTTTAAAAAGCAAGTAATTTGGGAGACCATTAATATGGGGATTGGCTGGGAGAGGTAGACCAAAAGGTAAGCAGTTACAAAAGCCCTAGTGAGGGGTTATGAAACGTTAACTCTGGCAATGGTTCAGAAGGTGTATAGAAGTCAGACTCACACAGTTCTCCAAAGCTCACTCAAGGACAGGGTGAGCACAAAGGTTAGCTTTTTTGTGTATTTCTATGGCTGAAATCTTTCAAGAGCCACCTGGTGTGCCTTAGAAAGAGTACTTTGTTTGCATAATATAAAATTTCCCTTTACCTTTGCTATCCTATACCTATTATTCTTATTTTTTTGTGTTTTCTGATGGGTACTCTATACAACTACCAGCCATTTCAGCTATCAGAGGCCATCTCCCACCTTTGGAGAAACTCCAGTTAATGATGGAATTGTTTCAATTATATTATTCTCGGTAACTGTAGGAGATACTCTTCTTTTTCTCTAGGGAAAAAATAGACTAGGCCTCTTTGTCTTATTGTCTCCTCTCAAAATTTCAATGAGGATAAAAATGTATGATCCCTCAATTAATGAATTCTTACATTACTGAGATGTGTACAGCATGAATCCAGACTTTCAAGCAAAATTTCCCAAGCAAAGTATCTAAGTGTCAAATGATTTTTTAGGCAATTAGTTTTCAGCAGTTCCAAAGTGGTGGTTGCAAATGCTAATGTTACAGAACAGACCAGGGATTGGGGGCAATTATTGGCCCACCTAGGGACACCAAAAACTGTTACAGAACAGAGGGCACACATACAGGGCAAAAGGGGTCATGATATACTATTACTTAAAGGACCCCCCAGGTTCCTTATGTCTGCCGCCTTACGGGAAAGACATCTCTCAATGCCAGAGATTTGTGAAAAGGAAAGGAAATGTTTATTTAAAGCTATACAGACTTCAAGTAATGACCTAATGTCTTCATTAAGATATCAAAGTCCTTTTGGATACCCACAGATGCCCACAGTGCTTCCTTCTCCCCCTGCCCCTAATTCAGAGTATTGTAACTCAGGAAAAGAAGCAAACATCCAGGATCCAGGCTCCGGACACTGTCAGCTGTGTCGCCATCCAGGCAGGATCTCTGATTAATCCAAAGCCATGTATCACCTTCTCATGGCCTACTAGCAAGAGTTTTTTCACCCTTCTTCCAGGCAAAGTCTCTCCTGCTTCTGAGGCCACACAGCCAAAGGGAGTACCCCAAAGCAACATGGTCCTCTTGTACCAAAGTTGTGGGGATCTGCTCTCTGGTGAAACCATGTGGTTCTTCTCTCTACCAGAACTGGGAGGAGGTCTCCACTCTGCCATAGCTGCGTAGCTCCCCCTGCACTGCCACAGCCACATGGTCCTCTCCTTACCAAAGCTGTGGGTGGTTCTCTCTTCAATGGCTGCCCTGTCTGGGTTTAAATCCCCTCACCAGTCCTCCTCTGTAGCCCCATTCTTGACTCCTTCTATGATCAGCTACACTTGGCAGCACTCCTGTATCCTTCCAGCTTTACTGGGCTGCCATAGTGAGTCTGGGTAAGTGTGGCCCTATGCCATGGAGCCAGTCATCTCCAAGCTCTCATGCAGGCGCTGTCACTAGGGGGACCTGTCCCCACTTACATCTTGGGTGGAAGTCACTCTCATCTCCTGGCTCAAAACATGGCCACAGCTATTTAACAAATCTATGCAACTAGTTAAAGGTTAGTGATATGTTAAATGACCATGCCAGAGGTTAGCTGCAAAGCTGGTGCTGTATAAAACAGCTCTCAATGGCCATTTGTCCCTTCCCCCAACTCACACCTGTTGTGAGGGGGGCAGGCGGTGAGGACATCCTAATATTTCCTGGAAACCTTGAGTTCTGGACCCCATTCCAAATCCCTTTTTGCCCCCCTCCTTGGCTGCACCCTGTACACTAGTAGCACCACATATTTAATTAAATAATTAACCTAATAAACAAATATTCTGGTTTTGTTGAGGGTAATTTTCAATGAAAACACACTGAAGAATTTATGGCCAATGTGAGTTTATGGCAACTTCAGTGCACAGATCAGACAGAGACATCAGAAAAGAAAAAGATTTTCCAACATAAAATTAGTTTCCTTTATTGAGTATATTCAAAATAGACCTATGCAAAGCCAATTCATTCTATCAACACATTTTAACTAGGTGTTTCCTGTTCACGGTCACTGGGCTAAAAATTTGAACAAATTAGACATGGCCCCTCAGCTCACCTGGAGGGTGTATCCCAGAAGAGATGGCAGACAGAAAACAAGCAAAGTAATAAACAAAATTACTATAACTTGTGAAAAAAAAGGCTGTGATGGGAAAGAGAAAGATTTGTTTGATCAGATTCTAGCACAGAAGGTAGAGGGATAAAGGAAAGCAGACAGCAATGTTCAAGTGATTCTATGCTCTTCCTGTCTGACAATTCATCT